ATCAAGACAATTTGAGCTTTGATGCAGATAAAATAGATTAGATAAATCAATGACCAATGTAATGACTTAAATGAATTAAAAATTATTGTTGTTTTACTTAGGAACAAGATAGCTGATGATTTAGAAGAAAGATATTTTGAGATTAAACTTTAAAACTACAGAATATCAAAAGATGATTTGTGTGGACAATAATGTAAACAAAAACATGAAGGGAGAGAATCAATCAAGTTCCATGAAAGAAAATGTTTCTATAATAATCCATTTAAAAAAGTAAATCACACTTTCATTCAAGTATATGTTGAAATAAGAACTTTTTTAGAAATAATGAATATTTTATGTATGAGAAACAAACCCAACAGGGTTCATTTGGTTTGCAATGCATTTCCTATGTACTTTTTTCATAATGTAGAGAATAATAGTATTAATCCTTTACATGAAGCAATATATTAATTAAATATGTATTTTTAACAAACATTGAAAGGAGATACATTTGTTTTTTTTTTAATTTACTGCATACAGAAAGTTAAGAATTTATACATATATACACAGTTATATATATATATAAATAAAATTTTATTGCTTAAACATTATTTTAGTTGATACACATATTTGAGTAAATATTTTGTTTATTTATTAAACAGTAAATTTATTTATTTCCATCTATCAGTTTGAATATTTGAGAAATCTTATTAGAAAAATATAGATAAAAATAAATATACTGTTTAATAGATAAACAGAGCATCTACTCAAATATGTGTATCTACCAAAAATAATGCCTAAACAAGAAAATATAAAAATATGTTAGATTAATAAATGAAAACTTAATTCAAATAAATGAAAATTAAATGCAATTTTTGACAACATTCCAATCCATGTTGAAATCCTCACAGTGTTTAACATTGTTGAAGTTATCGCGAACATTTGTTGAAATTTACAAACCCTACATTCTGTTCAATTTTGCAAAACTATTGATGAAATTTAAATAAGCTGATTTTTTTGGAAAAATATTTGATGAAACCATACTTCACAGTTTAATAATTTCCTTGATTTAATAAGAATCCAATTTCCAGTTCACCCTGCATTTGCAAGAACTATAAACAAATCACAAGGCCAAATGCTTCAAAAACTTGAGATTTTGGCTCCAGAAAGAAATACCTACACATGATCAGTTGTATGTTGCATGCTCAAGGGTAAGAAATCATAAGAATTTATTCTTCACTGTTGAAAAGGAAAAAAGAAATTTTCTTGAAAAAATATTGTTTACTATGAAGTCCTATGAAAATAAATTAAAGAAATTATTAAACCATAAAATAGGGTTTTTGTCAAAGTATTTTTCCAAACAAATAAGCTTATTTAAATTTCACAGATTGGTTTGCAAAATTGAATGAAATGTAGAGTTTGTAAATCTTGATAAAAAAGTTCCAGCATATAAAATTCTATGACTTGCTAGTCTGTCCATCCATCACACACTAAAATAGCTATACATTAACCCATTAACACCAAATTTTGAGGAGAAGTGCAAACAAGTAAGGGGTACAAAGTACAATTGGTTTTACTAGGGTGCATAGATTAGTATAATAAATTTTCATTAGTTTTTTTGGAAAAATTAAAAGTTTTATTATTTAACATACATACTCCCACTATTTTAAAAACAATTTAATCAGCAATACTAAATACTGTATGGATTTCAACATGTTGATGCATGTCGCAAAAAATTCTAATATTTATAAATTATGGATCTCAGTTTCATGATTTCAGTGTTGATTTATCAGGTTTTCAAATGATCACTTAGGAGGTGAAATAGAAAGTCATCATGCACTGTTGGTTTCTAGTTCACACAGTTTATAACTATAAATTAAATATAAAAGATATATATATATATATATATATATATATATATATATATATATATATATGTATGTATGTAAGGCTTTTTTTCTCAGTCTGGTACAGTATTCAGGCCTTGCAATGAGTTTCATCCTGCCATGCTGGCCCATGATTTTCTGTAAGGTTGTTTGAATGAAGAATTGAGACAGAGAACCTTTTACTATTTAACTACAGCTGGCGGAAGATGAGTCAGCAGATACATGCTGTTTCTAACAACATGAGTACAAAATGAATGACTGTGCTGGTAGTGTAATGGTTATCAGTCTGCTTTCAAATTCAGAACAAATTCACTTTGCTCCAATGCCTATATATATATATATAGGTACCTCCACAGATTTGATAAATAATGAGTATACCAGGATGAAGAAATTCCATAAATATAATTATAAATAAAGTTTTATAATCAAAATTATAATTAAGGGGGAAAATCAAAGGGATTTTTGGGATTATTAAATTATATGTGTTGATCCTTTTTAGGATGTTGAAATTTTGGTTAAAAATCTTGTTTTTCTTTTGTCAGAAAGCACCAAAGATTAGTAGAAGAAATTTTAGCATCTTTTCTGCAGTAAAAAAACACAGTGATTTGGAAATTCTTACAAAAATCAAATAATCATCAGATTTTAAAGAAACTTTCAAGACTTATTCACAAATGTATGAAATTATTTTAAAATTTCTTTTTCTTTTTTTTTGAAAATCTTGGTAAAAACATCTTTTTCACATTTTTTACCTCCTACATCACCCACTTATTTAATTTTATGAAATTTTGAGAAATCTATTTTGTAAAATTTATAATAGTTATACCCAAAACTTCATTGAGAATTTCAGTCATCAATATCTTTTGCAAATATGCTCTAAATTGTAAAATAAAAAGTGCAATAAAACTAAGACATTATTCAATTAGCAAAGCTTTTAATTACTTTTATGAATGTGTGTGTGTATATATATATATATATATATATATATATATATATATATATATATATATATATACACACACACACACATATATTATATATATATATATATATATATATATATATATATATATATGTATGTAATAGTAAAGCATCAACTTTTTTCAATGACAATTTGCTTGGTAAGAAATGGATGAACTGAAAAATTATTTCAAATTCTGCTACCCTCTCTTAAGGTCATCATTCAAATAGTTTGTCTGTGAATAAAAATTTATTTTTTTTTTTTTACTTTGGTTTACCCAATACAAGGCTTAGTAGCCATTCAAGGTAGAGGCTTATTGAGTGAGATTGTTGTAAGAGAGTAAAGGAGAGGGAAGAAAGGGATATTAGTTGATCCTAAACTTGAAGAAGTTTTGCAGTGATCAGGAAAGCATCTTCTCATGAGTCTGTTCTTCAAAGTAACATTTCTGGGGTAGAAACTGCCAGAGTGTAAATTAGTCCTTACCAAAGGAATATGAATGGAATCAGGATGATTTGACACTTTGAAGACAGCAGATCATAGCTGTGTAAGTTTGAACTGATGTAACTAAGGAATGTAGCTTGTTTAAATATTTGCCATAGTAATAGATAGTAATCCTGAGAGGACAAACATTTGAAAAAATATCATTCTAAAAATCAAACTGATTTTATTTTTCTGTTTATTTTTAAAATTTATATTTATCTGTAAAAATCAACTTTATAATAATTAAACATGGGCTATTGATCAGTTTTTGCACAGCTTTGGAGATAGAAGAAATAAAAAAAATAAAAATCTATTTTAAGTTCAATTTCTATGACTTAATAAACAGATTATTATAAAGCAGTGACAACTATCATTCAACATTCACAGGCAGACAGATATGAAAATATATCAAAAGTCACCTTATATCAATACTTACCAAGCTTAATTTAGTTTGACACAAGAGTCCAAGTGCAGTGAGGCTTAAATTCTTCACTGGAGCAATGGTAACCATTGCTCCATGTCAAGGTATCAAATATCAGCATATATCATCAATTTATATTGTTATATCTTTTCATAGGATGTTATCAGAGCTCTCCATTATAATGGCAGAGAGAAAGAAGACTCTGGCAGACACTTTGGAGATCTATTCTATATTAAAATATGACTATCCTCGTTAACCAAAGAAAAATAAACAGGGAAGAATTATTTTGTCACTTGAGGTTTCATTATTCATGATGGTCACAAAGTCTCCTTGTTATTATTTGTTTATTTCTTTTTTTTCATCCTGGTTGTGAAAACTTTTTGATTGGTTGGTTGAACTATGGCTTTGTTTGCCTGGCAATTTTTATTATCTGGCTCTTTTGAGAGATGGTGAAAATTTAGTCTTTTTGCTATTTATTTTTATTTATTTCTCTATCACCACAAATTTTAGAGTTACTGTCAATGAAAAGCAATTTTCTTGGAAAATGGACAGTTTTCTTCTTCTTTTTTGACATTGGAGCACATTATGAGTGGATTTGAAAGTTTTCTGCTTATGAACTAAATGGATTCATTTTAAAAGAGATTCACAAGACATTTTTTTTCTCATTGAAAAGAGTAAAAAAAGGCATTTTGATCCAAAGTAAACATAAATCAAAATTGTTTTTTGTTGTCTTGTTAAGATTGCAGCCATCAATAATGAGCCTCTTCTTAGCTTCTGATATTTAAGCCTAAATAGTTGCCATTTAGCAATGCCATATGTAGATGCAAAACTCTACAAAGTTAATTTAAAAATCAATTCTTCTTTGATTTTCAAAAATTTTCACTAACTTTCAACTGGCAAAGTTGACAAAAAATGTAAATAAAATATAAGTAAAAGAGAATGTTTGCTGCAGAATTAAAATAAACTTTTAGCAAAAAAAAAAAAAATGGACAGTTGGTTGAATGGCTCTTGTTTTTTGTCAACAGTTTACAAAATAGAATCAGAGTCTTCTCTGTTTGTTGTAACCTAGAAAAGGTTACTGAATGAGGAATAACCAAAACGAAGGTTGGAAATTAAATGGTAATCTTTATAACATCAACAAAATACAATACTTGCCAGCGGCATGAAGTAGGTAAACCACTGCTAGCGGGGTTCTACTTAGCAGTTTACCCCCACTTGTAATAGTTTCCAACGTATTTATGAAGATTGGGACATACTCGTTAGTGTTCATAGGTACGGTATATAATAGATAGATAGATAGATAGATAGATAGATAGATAGTGATATAACCTAGAAAGGATTACTGAATAAAGAATAACCAAAACGGAGGTTGGAAATGGAATGGTAATCTTTATAACATCAACAAAATACAATACTCGCCAGTGGCATGAAGTAGGTAAACCACTGCTGGTGGTGGACTACTTAGACAACATATTATCCCCACTTACAATAGTGTCCAACATATTTATGAGGATTGGGACATACTCATTAGTGTTCATAGGTATGGTATGTAACAGAAAGAAAGATAGAAAGAAAAAATGAGGAAGAGGACAGGTAAAGCATATAGGGACTGGCACAAAAAAACAAAACGCAATACCTAAGGTTTAAAATGAATTTTTAAAAAATTGTTGTAACCTTGAAAGGGTTTTTGAATGAGGAATAACCAAAACAGAGGTTGGAAATGAAATGGTAATTTTTATAACATCAACAAAATACAATACTCACAAGTGGCAAGAAGTAGGTAAGCCACTGTTAGTGGTGGACTACTTAGACAGCATATTATCCCCACTTACAATAGTGTCTAACGTATTTATGAGGATTGGGATATATGCATTAGTGTTCATAGGTATGGTATATAACACTGTTTTTAACCCACAGTCAGTAACATATTGGGCAAAAGTTTGTTCTGAAGCATTAAAGATACATCCTTTTTTGTGTAATACCAACCTGCATTTCTGATAACACAGCAATCCCTACATCAATTTTTTTTTAAAAAGTTGTACAATATAATTTGTTAAAATATCAATGTTGTACATATATTTCACTAAAATATTTAATTTTTCATATTAAAGAATATAAATGAACCGGATTTTTAGCTATTGAATGATTCTTCTCATAATTTCCGTTTCAAAACTTATTTTTGAATTTTCAGGGAAAGGTGTTTTGTTGTAGCATTAATGTTATCAGAACATGGCAGATCTAATGTCTTTCCTTTATTAATTTTGTTTAATCAAATTTGATGAATTTCCTGCCTTGGAGACAAAATATGTTCAATTACACTGATCCTCAAATACCAAACAATGTCAACCTATCAAATACTTTTTGTAAACAATTATTATCAACACCTGCCTACTTTGTGTCTTCTTATCTGTTGTGCTGAGTGTATTTGCAGTCTTACTGTTTCAAATAACAGGTTTTAAGCAGAGAAAAATTTCTGAAAACATGTCTTTATATATAACACGACCTTTAATTTTCATTCAAAATTTCTTGTATTATGCACAAGTAAATATAGTAATTAACTTAAAAAAAAATGTTTTTGTATATTGTGGTAGCTGTCATAGTGGAAAACTTTGTTTACAAAAATTTGTCAAAATTGGCATTTTTTTGTTTAATGATTAAAAAAGTGATTTTTGTCATGCTATGTCTTTTATTTAGAAAAAAAAGGTAAAAATTTAACTACACACCAAAAAACAACTCATTTGTGCAGTTTATGGAGAATGTCAATGATCAAATGTGTCAAAAATGTTTTGCAAGATTGCTAAAAATTTGAATAGACCTGTTAAAATCAAAACACTATCTGTGAATCAATAATATTTCGGTTGAGCTCTCTGGGGAGGAAGTGTGGGTTTGTAAACAGTGACTATTACAGCTAATAATGCAAGACTCTTCAGTAAATCAAATTGAATTCTCTCAGTCACTGTGTGTTTATCTAAAAGTAAATACATTTAAATTCACCTTCATCCCTACTGTGTACCAATAGCTTAGTGGTAGAATCCCCAACTGATGCCAATTCAGTTGGGTTTCAATCCTAACTAGAGGCAACCGGACATCTAGCCACATTGATGAGCTGTGACAGCCAGACACCAGCACATATGATTTGATTATAGTGATGAAGGCTTTGTGCAGAACCAACCACACTTTTTGAATGGCTGAATACAGAGACCTGATGCAGTATGTGCCACAAGGTCCCCAAACTACCTTCTGCAGGTTTTAAATTCAGAGTTGTCCTTCTCCTAGATCAGTTGCCAACCAAGGCTATAGAGCCCAGTCTGTCCTGCTATTTACTCATACCTGGAGGGAGAAGAAGAGGATTCATACCTTTCCCAAGAGCACATAAATGGAAGTAATGGATTCAATTGGAATTTGAAGTCAGCTCTCTAAGCCCTCAGTCTGAGCCACTACCCACTATTATACCTCACTTAACTGACAGATATATATATATATATATATATATATATATATATATATATATATGAAATGGATAACCTCCAACAATTATTTTTAAGACATTTTTATGCTTATACGTTCTTTTTATAGATACAAATATTTAAGTAAATGCTCTGTTTATAATAAACAGTATTAACAACATTTACTGGCCTGAATGCCTGAGAAATTTTCATAGAAAATATGTGTCCTCTGACAGGAATTGAACCAGTACTGTCATATAGTCTGATGTGCCATTACTGATTGGGCCACAGAGGAGTGTTCAGTTAGCAAGGTCAATTTTACCGCATTTAAACACAATTCTTGATGATTTTCTCTCATACATTCATATCTGCTCAATGCATTTCCAAATGTAAACAAATGACATCACAAACATAAACATAAAAAAATGTCTTAAAAAATAATTAAAAATAATTTCATAATGTGTGACACAGTAGGTTGCCATTTCTTTCTGTGGCAGACTGGTTACCAACTAAAACTATAAGATCCAGTGTGTCCTGCTATTCAACCTCTAGCAGGGGAAGAGAAGAGATGGATTCATACCTTTACCTATGGTATTTGCATATAAATGCCATTTGGAAGGGTATGAATATATATCCCATTAAACCACTGAAAATTATTTGTATCACCATGGTTATGTTAGTTGCTTTGATGTGTGGCTTTCACTTAAATGAAAGAAAAAAAAATACTGGATTATATATCTGTGTGTTATTTGCTACTTAATGAAAATGAGCAACAATAAATGGATACAATATAAAATCATGAGGCAATGTGAAGAAGAAAATGATAGCTTACCACATCAATCAAAACGTCCCCTGCATCACATGCTGCTACTGTAAAAAAATAATTATTTACCCAGATAATATCTGTCTTACAGATGCACACATGTATATTTTTTCTCTCATGATCAATCCTGAGCATTGTAAGTGCTTTAGAAACTCCTGTGTTTGTCACCAGAATGGCAGTTGACAGTGAGAGAGGTGTGTGAGTGTGACCTACAGATTTTTAGAGGTATGGATTTAACAAACCTATATTTTCTGAACTGTGCTTTCTATAAAAATCTATTTCAATATATGAACATAAACCACAATTAACTGTATCCAAAATCAGTCTTCATACAAGAGTCATACTGTTTATATTAGTGGGATTAGAAGGGGGTCTTCTATGATGAGCTTTTTCTAGAGAACCAAATGATCAATTTTAACAAGTACTGCTCCCAGTAATCCAATACTAACTGCTGCATTGTTAGACCTGGCAACTACACCAGTTTCCCCACCAGGCTCTTCTGGTGAGGTCAGTGACTAAACACCTAGCGAGATTAAAAACAAGTCAAAGTGCAGATGAAACTTCTTGTTGGGCCAATGAGCACAATGGGGTAGACTGCTCCATAGATATCTATACAGCTGTGTGGTGATAACATAGCATCACCAGTTTTTTTTTGGGGGGGGGGCTGGAATTAAGTCATCAGCAGGATTGGAGTGTTCCCTCAATGGAATCAACAGCCATGTATCCACAGTCTGAGCTTTCAAGTTGGTGGATAATAGCTGTGGTTTGACCTGGAGAGGGATGAACTCCATCAAGTCAAATTGCTCCACATAGACGGTAAGAATGAATACTACTCTGACTTTCAGCTCTAACATATGGAGAGAACTGCTCAAGTACTCAGCTGCATAGCAACCCATGCCCACATCTGGTTATGGGTTGGTTGGTTGATTTTTTTCTACCAGCACATCAACCTCCGTGGGTTATTTAATGCTGAAATCAAAATATTTTGAACACTACAGATAATATGTATTGTTAGTCATTTTGCTATAAAATGTATTGTTGGTAATTCTATTATAAATGGTATTGCTGTTCATTTTGCTTTAAAAATATACTGTTGGTAATTTTTACTATAAATAGGTATTGTTGGTAATTTTTTTTAATATAAAAAAGTATTGCTGGAATTTTTACTATAAAAATGTATTTTTATACTTTCATAGTTTTTGTTTGGGGGTTCACTATTTGTCCATAGCTGGGACCCTAACAGGTGCTACCACCCTGGGTCAGGGTAGGGATGGGAACAACAGAAATTAAGGGGTAGTGCAAAACCTCCCATCTCCCAATCTTGCTGCCAGATGTAGTTTATCATAATACCCAGGACTGCCCGGTCATGGGACTGAAGATGCTTCTGCTGCTAATTAAATTGCTGAAGATAGCAATCTATGAAAAGGCATAATATTCTATCAGGATGATGCTAGAATGTTTATAACCAGGAAAAATTTTAACACCTTAGCTGGGAAGTTTTCATTCATCACCTGTATATCCCAGATATTTCACCTTTAATCTATTTATTCTGGTTTTTATAGAGATCTCTTCATGTAAAAAAAAAAAAAGAATCATTTGTTTTTGTATAATTTTATACCTTATTTTTTTTTATTTCAGTGACTCACAATGTTTGATTTTCAGAATCATTTTCCATGTAAAGGTAAACAGGAAAAAATTGAAATGTAAAATCACATGAAAGACTTTTTGATCAAATAACATCAAGGATTCAAACAGAATGCATTTACTGTTTGAGAATAACTTTCAAAAATAAGAAATTCTGATTATTGATTTTCACAAAATATTCTGTTATCCGGTGTCTGTCAAGCACAAAATATTAGCATCCTGGGTATGATGATAACTACATCCAGCAGGAAGGCCTCTGATCGGGAGGTTTTGAAGACCGTGAAACCACCTCTTAATTGCTGTTGTTTCCTGGCCCACCCTGACCCAGAGTGTTAGCACTGTAAGGGTCCCAGCTATGGGCAAATATTTAATGCCCAAACTGGGTTCAAAACACTATGAAAGTACAAAAATAGATT